ATAATTAAAAAGAGGAGAAAAGTTATACCTTAATCTTCTCAAACAGCTTCTTGAGACGGTAGAGTCTCGTGCTGATAACGTGTAATAAAATAATAAAAGTAGAAGAACAATATTGCAGAGAAAGAGAGAGTAATTAATCTTATTGAATTTTGGGATGATATACAATGGGGGTAAGACCCCTCAATTTATGGGGGAAAAATGACTTAGCCACAAAGTAAAACTTTCTACAAGATAGACATTCACTCTAAATAGAATTATATTCATAACATTTTTAACGTTATAAAGAAAAGAAAATTATTTGAATTTAAAATCTCAAAAATATGCATATTTCACCACACAAAAAAAAGAAACTATTACTACATAATTAATTAATCCATAATACTTATTCTTCTTGCCAGGGATACTGATGATAGTGCCAAGTGCATATTTCTCTTTCAGTTATTTATGAGCTATGGGTAGGATTATTCTCTTTATACTGTTCCTTAGTAGAGTGGCGATGATGATATTGTATCTGCTGATTTAATCTTTTGCGTGTAATTATCCACTTACGTTATAGTTATTGATAAGACTTGTCGTATTTTAGAAGTGGTACGATAGTACGATTAGGGTTGTCAATGGTTCAGTTCGGCCGGTTATTTTATAAAATTTGTATCATACCAATTTTTCGGTTATTCTGTTATATATAACCAAAATTAGACTTTTCGAAATCGTCCCAATCATGTCGGTTTCTCTTCGGTATCGGTACGGTTCGGTAAATTTTCGGTATTTTTTTTTAATATCATATAAAAGTCACTAGTAGAAGTAGAATGCAATAACATACGTACTTTTATATGACTTAACAAAACTCTCTAAATATTTTTACGGTTTAAAAGGTGATGAATTAAGAAAATATGAAAGATGACCAGAGTATAGATCCATCAACTATTCTACATCAACGTAAAAAAACTAAGCAAATATAAAAATAATATAAATTGCATGAGTGGAAAAATATTAACTAAGTTGAGATTCAAGAATAAAGTCTATAAAAGATTAAATATTCAAAAAGATAAATCAAAATCATACGAAAGGAAACATATTCAATATATTGTAGTTTGCTACTCATAATCGCTATAATATCTTGTGTCTTGCTAGTGAACATGCTGGAAATAATTTAGTATCAATATGAGTAGCATAATAGGTTTGTGAATTAAGATTTTGAGTTTAATTACTTGTTGGCTTGTAACTATTTCTTAATTCCAAGGCCCAAGAAAAAATTAAATGTTTTATTATTTTAAAACTTAATATATAAATCTATTGTTCACATTATAAATTTATTCGGTATGGTTCGGTATTTTTTCGGTATATTTTCATAAAATAAAAAACCTACCCTAATTATCGGTAAAGTTATAGATTTATATAAAAATCTACAATTTTATTAAAAAAAAATCTAAAATTCGGTTCAGTACGGTGCGGTGCGGTCGGTTTTTAAATATCCATTGACACCCCTAAGTACGATACTACGATCTTCTTAAAGGATAATGCTTCTATCATTTTTTCCCCTTTCTGTCCAATCTTTTCATCCTATTCTATTGTTGTAACTTCTTCCGGTCTTCGTAGGGCATCTCCAAGGATGCACTATGTTTTGCACCAAATTTAAATTTGGTGTAAAATTTAGTATTTTTTTTTTGCTCCAATGGAACACCAAATCTACAACTATTATAGTGCGTGAATAGTGTCGCACCAAATTTGGTGCGACACTATTCATCAACACCAAATTTGATTTATTATTATTTAATTCATCTTTTTATTTTTTTGAACTTTTAATTAATCATATATTGTGTGTATAATTAATTTTTATATTAAGAACTTTATAAATTTAATTTTATATCCTATTTTTTTGATATATTAATTTTTGTATATATTATATTTATATAAAATTATAAGTTAATTTTATTATTATAATTGTATAAAAAGAAATATAACCATTATTTAAAAATGGAAAAATCTAAAATTGTATGATATCTAATGTTTCTAAAATAGAAAAGTAGATGAAGATCACCAATTTGAACAATTTTTAGCTCGACAAAAAAAAATTAAGGATAAAGATGCGCATTTCACACTTCGTAATGTATTAATCGAGCGTTTATGGGAGAATAGACGCAAATATTGAATATTTATGTGGTGCTTAAATTAAATTTGACTATGATGTAATATTTATTTAAGGCAAAATACCTTAAATCACCTCTAAACTTGGCTCAGATTATTAGTATCCTCCCCGAACTATGCCCGGTCTTAATTACCCTACTCGACTTGGCCATTTGAGAGACATTACCACCTAGACGATGATGTGGCAAAAAGTGTGAGTGCACTCGCCTGCCACGTAGATTTTTCTGTATATGTGATATTTTTTTGAAAAATAAAATATATTTTTACCGTTTTAAGAATATTACTTTTTTAGATACTTTTTTCGAATACAATTTAAAATAAAACTTGGATAGAACTACATTATTTAGGCTAAATATTTTTATTTTTGTCCAAAAATAATAAAGTTTTAGTTAATCTTTTTTTGAATTTGACCTGAAGGTAAAGATTTATACAGTTGAAATAAATAGTACAGGCATCTAAAAAGTTATAAAAAAATAAATAGTCATTGCATCAATACACTCTTTTTATTTCTTCTTTTGATGGAATGACTATTTATTTCAATTGTGTATTTTTTCCTTTTTAGGTAAAATCTGCAAAAAAAAAAAAATATTTTTAGAGTACCGTAATTTAGAGCTATATAAAAAATTATAGCTAGAATAATTAATTTTAAACTATGCATTTTTTATAACTTTTTAGGTGCCATGACTATTTACTTCAATTGTATAAATCTTTATTTTCAGGTTAAATTTAAAAAAAGATTAACTAAAACTTTATTATTTTTGGCCAAATAAAAATATTTAGCCTAAATAACGTAGTTCTATCCAAGTTTTATTATAAATTGTATTAGAAAAAAATTATCTAAAAAAGTAATATTTTTAAAATGGTAAAAATATATTTTATTTTTCAAAAAAATGCCACATATACAAAAAAAATCCACATGGCAGGTGAGTGCACCCACACTTTTTGCCACATCAACATCTAGGGGGTAATGTCTCTCAAAAGGTCAAGTTGAGGGGGGTAAAGTTCGGGGAGAATACTAATAATCTGAGCCAAGTTTACGGGACGTTTAAGGTATTTTACCTTTATTTAATTATCTTTTATCAATGATTTTATTTTTAGTTGATTTATCCTTTAAAATAATTTTGTAATAAATGATTATATAAGTGGTAAATGTGAATTATATATGATGAATGTGGAAAAAAGAAAAAAGATAGAATTTGTTTGAAGGAAATAAAAAATGAAAGTTAAATAGAAGATAATAATATAATGTAGAAGATAGAGAAGAGATATTCTTTTTTGGTGTAAAAAATGGTGTAATGGTCGGAGTAAATTTGGTGTTACATCATTTTGGTGTGTAATTTGGTGTTAGGGTTGGTGTGAAATTTACTTGAAAATTTTGCAGAAAAGTTTCAACACATTTTTTTTTCTTCTTTTTTGTGTGTTTGGTTAAAACATAATTTTGCAAAGAATCAAAGTAAATTTTTTTTAAGACAGGTTATAGAACCGCTTCTTCATGAGTGAAAGTATATGCTTGCCTTTGGCATTAAAAGCACACATTTAGTTTAGTTGAAAGGTTAAACATGCAATGTAGAATAATACAAGGATCAAACTTAGAATAAGACAATAATTTAAGTACCAAAAGCGTAATTTTCCAGAAAAATAGAAAGTATTTGGAAAAACGATTTAACTCTTCTCCTAGAAGAACGAGGGACAAACTTCACATAAAGAAAAAGGAGGGTTTTCTTTAGCATGGTGGAAAAGACGACCTCCTTTGGTTAAAATTTAACAAGGTAAGTTTTTTCCGATTCTCTACTCACAAATGTATCAGTATGTTGTGTTGTAAACGTATCATATCATTGTTTGATGATACAACCACAAGGGCATTGAGTTTGTAGTACAAAACAGCATGTCATATTTACTGGTGTATTGAGATGTTTCTACTCAATAAGAAATTGAAACGGGTAAAACTTGATACTCAAAACTAGATCTTTTCTCTTGCAGTTTTATGGGAAAAAGTTGTTTCAACTTAATTTATAAAGATTATGATCCTTGCTTCAAGTTTGAAACTTTTTGCTTTGCTGGGGTTTCTGTTTTGATCCTTTTGTATTTGATGAAATTCTGGAAGGTATAATATGCTTATCTTCTTTGTTAATTTCATGTTTAATAAACAAAAGTTGCTATCTTTCCCATGAATTAATGTATCGTGTGATAAAGTTATCATTTGAGCCCTTTTTAATATTTTCTGAGTGTATAAAGTTTGAAACTTTTGCTTTCTTGGAAATTATGTTTTCAGCCTCTTGCATTTGATGATATTCTAGCTTATTATGAATTTTTTTTCTGTGCTAATTTCGCGCTTCACAGCAAAAATATCTAATATTCTTCTGAAAAAAAAATTGTATAGAGATTTCTCTGAACCTATTTTGAAAATTTCTGATTCCTGTGTGAAGTTTCAAACCTTTTGTTTTGTTGGGGATTCCTTTTGACACCCTATAGGATTCCTTAATGATATGACAGGAATCGAAGACTATTGATCTGCTTGAGATAACCTGCTTAGGCGGTTTACTTTTTTTGTCCGACTCACATTTAGATAATGCTATTTCTTCCTACAGCCAATTTTTTTATTGATTGGCTGGTTTTAGATTGCAATACTTCATTTAGAATTTGGTTTTGTTCCAGGGTCCTGAAGCTTGCCATGTATTTACTTAAAGGAAATAAATGTTTTTATGAAGATGCTTGGTTAATCCTCGTGCTTTTGTGTCCTTTTTTATGGAGTATTATTTTAGTACATTGACACTTCATATGTAACTACCTTTAAATTCATTTTATTCCTTGATCAGGTTTTTTTAGATTTTTCAAGATTGTTACCTTACTTCATGATGAGAACTGAAGATAAAGCACTGTTTTGTTTCTGTCATTGGGGTTGGGCGAGTAAGGAGCTTCCGGATGGATCCACTTCATATGTGGGAGGTATTACCCGTCAGGTTATTGCGAAGACAGGCATAAAGTACAATGATTTTGTGAATTCAGTTTTTGGCCGATTAGGCATTGATCCTTCAGATAAGATCTTGCATTTTACTGTAAAGTTTGATAGGTCCCAATTGATATAACTGAGAGACCAAGAAGATGTCAATACTCTGTTTCAGTTTAATGATGGTTCTGCTCATGTTTATGCATCAAGTTTGGAGAAGGAGCCTAATTCTAGACAGCCATCAGGTGGTCCAGAAAAAGTTGAACGTAGTGCTGTTTCTGATTCAGAACCTGATACTACTTCTGTACGCGATGATGAGAATGATTTGGCAAGCCCTCTGAAGAAGGCGCAGTCTAACCAGTCAACTGGAGATAGTAAACCTCAGCAGAAAGAAGATGTTGGCAGTGATGATCAAAAGCAAGCCGGGGTAACTAGGCCGTGCAGTGATTTCGGGGAAAGATTAAATCAAGATGGAGTGGGACTTCCTGAAGGGGATGTGCAAAACAACTATTCCAAGGTTGGGACAGTTAACAAACAGGCTTCTAGAACGCCATCTAGTGGCACGAAAAAAGTTGAACTTATTGTTGATTCTGTTTCTACTGATTCTGATTCAGAACCAAATACAACTCCTGCAGCTGATGATGTGAATGATTTGGCAAGCCCACTGAAGAAGGCACGGTTCCAGTCAGCTGGAGACAGTAGACCTCAGCAGAAAGAAGATGTTGGTGGTGATGGTCAAAAGCATACCGGTGTAACTAGGTCGTGCAGTAATTCCGTGGAAAGATTAGATCAAAATGGAGTGGGCCTTCCTGAAGGGGATGTGCAGAACAACTCCTCCAAGATTGTGACAGTTAATGATCAGGCTTCTGGACAGCCATCAGGTGTCGCAAAGGGTGTTGAACTTACAGTTGATTCTGATTCAGAACCAAATGAACTTTCTGATAGTAATCCTTCAGAGGATGATTATCTTTATCCTGAATTTACTGATTTTGACAAGTATAGATCACAAGATTGCTTTGCGGTTGACCAGATTTGGGCTTGCTATGATACGGATGATGAGATGCCAAGATGCTATACCCTCATTAAGCAGGTATCCAGTCCTGAATTTAGGATAAAGCTCAGATGGCTCGAGCCTCGTCCAGAATATCCAAGAGAGCACACTTGGGTCAGGAGTCTCTTGCCTGTTGGCTGTGGGAGATTTAAATGTGGGGGTGCTGGGAGTATTGAATATACTTCTGATCTCCGTTTATTTTCTCATGAAATGCAGTGGTTTAAGGGCAAGGGAGGTCCATACTTTCTATATCCTAGGAAAGGGGAAACGTGGGCTCTCTTCAAAGATTGGGATTTTAGTTGGACCTGTGATCCACGCAATCATAGGGAATACAAGTATGAAGTTGTGGAGATTCTTTCTGATTATGTTTATATTGTTGGTCTCGAAGTTGGTTACTTAGATAAAGTGATCGGATTTGATAGCCTTTTCCAGCGAACAAGGCCGACTGTAGTTGATACGTTCTTTATACATCCAAAAGACTATTACAAGTTCTCTCATCGAATTCCCTCCTTCAAAATGACCGGAGCTGAAGGAGAGGGTGTACCTGCAGGATCGTTTGAGCTTGATTTTTATGCTCTTCCGCCCAATCCCGATGATATTTGGTACCCGGGGAAGGATAAGGAAGACAGCAGGACTGCAAATTCTGAACCTCTAGAAAATGTTGAGTGTGCAGTTCCCTCTGGAACTATAGATAAGTCCAGAACACCTGAGAATGCGACAACGTCTCTGGAGTGTGGGAACTTGGAAGGCATCCATGCTACTGATAGAGAGTCTTCTATGCAAGTTGACTTGGAACTGAGATTATGGTGTGATGGGACTCAATAATGAATTGGTTCTCCTGGATTTAGAGTAACTTGGAACTGAAATTTTTCTTCCTCTGTTGCCTACATTACACACACCTACGGCCTTTTGTTCTCAACAGTTCTTCATTAGCACACATGAATCTGGAGTTTTTGCCCCTTTTGTTATGGGTTTATTCCCTCAAGCCATGGACTAAATATAGTAGTATAGTCCCCATGTTTTTGTAAAGACTTATAGTGATCCTTTTAGGCCAAAAAAAAAAAATGATATATAGCTTGCAAGGTAACAACTAGTTCACTTTGTCCTGTTTCCATATTGTTTTTCCGTTATGAGATGCTTATTTGCAGCATTAGTTTTTTACCTTCCGTTATTCACAGTGATATTGTCGTTATAGCTTTGCTGCTTCCTCCTCATTTTTATTGCCAAATTCACTCACCATAAAGGTGGCAATAGTTCAATTCCTACAATGATGCTCAAATGCTCACCTATCTTCTCTATCCCACATTCTTTTTCGACCCTTGTCTCTTGTACTAAAAGAAAATTGCTAGCTGTCAACAAATTTTTCATGTTTATAGTTTTTCTTAGATAGGAAACTTAACAATATATTAGCAAAACAATAGCAGTAAAGATATACATGTGAATGTCACATATATAGTACCAGTAGTATTTTTAGGTGTAACTTTTACAATTCATGACAACATGAGTGATTTCTTTTTGCTGTCAGAATCTAAAGTACATACATTTAGAGAAATCATGCAGTAACTTCAATTAATTTGAATTGAAACTTTATTAACTGTTTAATAGATATCCATATAGTAGCTAATTATCTTTTGGTTTTCTCCATCTATATAAATTCATTATACGCGCACATGTAAGGTAATAAAGATAGCACAATATCTTCTTTTTTTTTTTGTGTGTGTGTTTTGAAACCTTTTACTCAAAATTTTCATGTCAACTTTAGCTGTAGTTTATCTCCTCTTGCATCAATTAAATATGCAAAGATATGTTTGTCACAACTCAAGGGAGATGCTTATAGGAACCTTAGGGGCGGTCTAGAGTAGTAATGATCATATTGTATCTGCTAATTTTTAATCTTTTCCTTGTGTTGTGAGTATCCACTTTTTACAGTAATTGATAAGACTTGTCGTAGTTTTCAAGCTGTAACATCTCTTAAAAGGAAAATGCTCAACTTCTTTACTAGTTGGCGTTTGCTTCAAAATTTTGCAGAAAAGTTTCAACACTTTTTCTTTCTTTTTGTGTGTGTTTGTTAAAACATAAGTTTGTAAAAAATAACAACAATAATATACCCGATATATCTCACTAGTGAGGTCTGGAAATTTTGCAAAAAAATAAAATATATAGTTTCAAGAAGAGTTCTGAAAACGCTTCTTCGTGTCCGAAAAAATTTATTTTGTGTTTCACACAAGTGACGCTAGTTGTGTGAGACCTCCTTTTTGTCTCATAACTTTTTGGTTCCAGAATTTTGTGGATCCAAATGTGTAAGATATGAGTCCATAAATGTGAGATAAAAAGAGGTCTCACACAATTAATGTCAGTTGTGGGAGTGACACCGTGAAATCACTCGTGTATTCTGCATTGGTCACTTTTTCAAAGAAATTGGTAAAAGTAAAATTTACTGTGTATGCTTCACTGCCTCTGACAGTTGATCAATGCAAAATGAGGCTATACGTATAAAACCGTAAACTTGTCTTTTTAAGCCAATGAAAAGCATAATATAACCGCTAGAAAATATTTGGAAAAATGATACTCTTTCTGTTCCATGAACCTATTTTCTTTGTGGTCCGTTTCAAAAAGAATGAATCATTTTTAAATTTGGTAATAATTTAGCTTAAATTTACAACTTTACTCTTAATGAGAAGCTTTTATAACCACACAAATAGTCTGCCCCATTTGAACTTGTTTAGGACGACAAATTTCAAAAGTTTCATTTTTTTCTTAAAATTTGTGCCGTTAGGAGAGAGTATAAGTCTTCTCGTAGAAGATATGAAGGGACAAACCTCACATAAAGGAAAGGAGGGTTTTAGTTTCAAAGAATGGTAGAAAAGACCTCCTTTGGTTAAAATTTAACTCTCTGCAGCCTCAAGGTAACTTTTTTCTCCTTCTCCATTCTTTACTCACAAATATATATGAGTATGTAGTGTTGTAAAGCTATCATGTCGTTGTTTGATGATAAAATCATATGGAAATTCAGTATGCAGGAGAATTGGCCCAACTTCTTTACTAGTACAATGAGATGTTTTTGAAACGATCAGTTTACAAAAGAAAATAAAAAGGTATTGAGTTAAAAAGTGAAAATGGTGAAGCTTGGTACTCAAATTTGAAACTTTTTTCTTTCCTTGGGTTTCTGTTTTGATCATTTTGTTCTATGGTTTAATATGCTTGTCTTTTTTGCTAATTTCATATTTAACAAACATACATAGCTGACTTTCCAAGGAAATTTGTCATGTGAGAAAGTTTATTTTTTGAGTTTGACCCCATTTTGAAAATTTCTGATTGGTTAAAGTTTGAAACTTTTGCTTTCTTGGGTATTATGTCTTGACCCTTTTGCATTTGATGAAATTTTCGTTCTTTGATAATTTTATGTTTCACAACAAAATATCCAATATTTTCATGAAATTTTTTTCATAAAGTTTTCCTTGAACCCATTTTGACATTTTCTGATTCTTGGTTAAAGTTTGAAACTCTCTGATTCGTTGGGAGTTCTGTTTTGACACCCTATTGCATTTGATGAAATCCTATGTCTTATAACCTGCCTAGGGAAAATAACCTGTTTGGGTGTTTTACTTTTTGCTGGCTCATATTTAGATAATGCTATTTTTTCATAGGGAAATTTTTTTTATTTGTTGGCTGGTTTTAGATTCTTATCCTTCATTTAGAATTTGGCGCTTGACATGTATTTACAAGGAAAAAATGCTTTTATTAAGATGCTTGGTTAATCCTATGGATTACATTATTTTAGTACATTCACACTTATATGTAACTTCCTTTAAATTCATTTTATTCCTTGATCAGGTCTTTTAGTTTGTTCGGGATTGTTATCCTTTTCGGGGAAAAAAAAAGTTTTTGAAGATTGTTATCCTTTGAGCCTGTTCACGTACACTAGTTCATGATGGGAACTGAAGATAGAACACTATTTTGTTTCTGTCACTGGGGCTGGAAGAGTAAGGTGCTTCCAGATGGATCCACTTCGTATGTGAGAGGTGTTGCGGAAGCCAAATGTATATAGTGTGAATAAGTCACAACTACTATACCAAAATTATGACAGCCACCAAATAATAAATAAGACAATAAAGCAACAATAAAGGGAACACCACAATTTACGAGGTTCGGCTAATTTTGCCTACTCCTCGGACACAACCAATATTTTATTTCACTCCAAAAATACAAGTGAAATAATACTAAAGAGAGAAGATACAAATGCCTTAAACAGATGAGAAGGCAAATGAGAGGTGTGTTTCAATCCTAAACATTAGGCCTTCTTTTATAGGGGAAAAATCCCCCCCAAACTTAACTCCCAACCAATGTGGGACTTTGGCATTTTGCCAAACTTCAACAGGAGGTATTACTTGTCAAGTTATTGCGAAGACATGCATAAAGTATATTGATTTTGTGAATGCAGTTTTTGACCGATTAGGCATTATTGATCCTTCGGATAAGAACTTGCATTACACTGTCAAGTTTGACAGCTCCCAATTGATACAGCTGAGAGACCAAGAAGATGTCAATACTCTGTTACAATTTAATAATGGTTTTGCTCATGTTTATGCGTCAAGTTTGAAAAAGGAGCCTTATTCTAGACTGCCATCAGGTGGTGTGAAAAAAGTTGAAATTATTGTTGATTCTGATTCAAAACCAGATACATCTCTTGCAGGTGATGATTTGAATGATTTAGCAAGCCCGCTGAAGAAGGCACGATTCCGATTAGCTGGAGACACAACCTCAGAAGAAAGAATCTGTTGGTGGTAATGGTCCAAAACATGCTGGTGTAACTGGCTCGTGCAGTAATTCTTGATTAAATCAAAATGGAGTGTGCCTCCCTGAAGGTGATGTGCAGAACAACAATTCCAAGATTGGGACAGTTAACAAACAGGCTTCTAGACCGCAATCAGGTCGTGCGGAGAAAGTTGATTCAGTATCATATACAATTCCTGATAGTGACCCTTCGGATGTGTTTGATTGTCCTGATTCTGAATTCAATGATTTTGACAAGCATAGAGCTGAAAATTGCTTTGTGGCCGGCCAAATCTGGACTTGCTATGACATGGATGATGGTATGCCAAGATTATATGCCCTCGTTAGGAAGGTATCCAGTCCTGAATCAAGATAAAGTTCTCATGGTTCGAGCCTCATCCAGAAGATGAAAGGGAGAGTGCATGGATTAGGGCAGACTTGCTTGTTGGGTGGGGGAATTTTAGACATGGGAATTCTGAATATACTTCTACTCGACTTATATTTTTTCATTAAGTGCGGTGTGATAAAAGCGAGAGAGGTATGCTTATCGTATATCCCAGGAAAGGGAAACATGGGCCCTTTTCAAAGATTGGGACATTAGTTGGACTGCCGATTCGGATGATCATAGGAACTACACGTATGAAGTTGTGGAGATTCTTTATGATTATGTTGGGGATGCCGGTGTCAAAGTTAGTTACTTAGATAAGGTGAATGGATTTGTTAGCCTTTTCCAGCAAACAAGGATCACTGTAGCTGGTACATTCTATGTAAAGCCAAATGAACTTTACTGGTTTTCTCACCGAATCCCCTCTTTCAAAATGATTGGAACTGAACGAGAGGGTGTACCTGGGGGATCATTTGAACTTGATCCTGCTTCTTTACCCCTCAATCCAGATGATATTTGGTACCCTGGGAAAGTTAAGGAAGAAAACAGGACTTTAAATTCTCAACCTGTAGAAGAAATTTTGTCTATTGTTCCCCCTGGAACTAGAGACAAATCCAGGACATCTGAGGTCGCGACAACTCTCTGAAGTCTGAGAACTTGAAAGGTA